TTTGATACGTAAAAACTTGTAGCCCTTGGTATATGTACATTCCTAATTTTGATTAAATACCTCTGGTCTTTGTGTTAAATTATACTAAATTGGCTGCTAAAATGCTAAAATTCACAAAAATTATAAAAAATATAAAGAAAGACTTTAAAATAAACATTAAACCTCTGAAGGTTGGAATAGCATATAATTATGCACTAATAGTGGCTGGTTTCTTTCTGGGAATTTTAACATAGTCATAGAAGCGGTTTTGTTGTTTCTAAATAATTGAAACAGTAGCATGACTGTGTTTCTCTATCCAGTTAGAGATTAGCTGGTACATGTATTCAAAACCCGCCGCACATTTACAAAAACAAAACCAACAATACTACATTGTACCTCAGAAAGGGGTATTATGCCTTTAATCTGTTCTCTCCATCTTTAGAATATGAACATTTTTCCCACTGAGATGCCTGATTTTGACTTCTTCCCAGGGTACTCTGAAATCTTTTCATAAGAGGGCTTAACTGTGAAATTACTTCTTGTGTTAAAATCCAATTTTCCCCCTTGAATAGGCAAAGGCAGAACAAGGGCCCAGAGTCAAAGGAAATGCTTTATAATAAGTCCAGGATATTTCTATGGTTGAGAAATGGAATTTGATTTGATTTGACATTTTGTTCTTTTATGACCTCACCTTTGCATTTTTTACAAGCCAACTGCCAGCACTGAATGGCTTTCCTGATTCTGTTTTACCAATATATCTTTTATAGATTTACTCATTCACCATCATCTTCATTTTAAGCCATTAGAAAATGGGGACAGGGATTGTGCTCTAATAAATCTCTGTCCTGGATATAATTAGATACAACTTTCAGCAACATTTGTTGCGGTGATGTGCATGTCTTATGTCTCAAGCTGTTCCTAAAGTTTTCTAGATTGGGCACACCATCAGTGAAAAATTATTGAACAACCAACACGAGTATATGTATGTTAAATACTATATACATGCACTAAAAGCTTAATTTATTACTTATTAAAGGTTCCAGATCATTTGAAAATTAATATTTTAGAAAAGTCACTTTTTTAAAGTGTACATTTCATTGGTGTTTAGTCTATTCACAAAGCTGAGACCACTATCTCATTTTTATCATCCCCAAAAGAAATTCCACCCACATTAGGAGTCACTCCACATTACACCTTCCTCCCAGCCCATCTTGATCTACCTTCTCTCCATAGATTTGCCTATACTGGACATTTCACAAAAATGGAATCATACAACGTGTGACCTCTTGTGTCTGGCACCTTTCACTTAGCACAGTGTTTTCAAGGTTCATCTGTGTTGTAGTATGAATCGGTATTTCATTCCTTTTTATGTCTGAATAATATTCTACTGTTTGGATATAGATATACTACATTTTATTTATCCATTCGTCAGTCAATGGACACTTGGGTTGTTTACCCTTTTTGGCTGTTATGAGTAATTCTGCTATGAACATTCATGTGCAAGTTTTTGTGTGGGCATGTTTTCATTTCTCTTGGGTATACACCAAGGAGTGGAGCTGCTGGGCCATAAGGTAACTTGATGTTTAACTTCTTGAGCAATTGCTAAACTGTTTTCCAAAGTAGTTGCTCCATTTTGCATCCCCACCAGCAATGTATGAGGGTTCCAATTTCTCCACATCCTTGCCAACTCTTGCTATTGTCCTTGTTTTTTAATACAGTCATCCTAGTGGTTGCGAGGAAACCCCGGTAGTGTAGCAGTTAAGAGTT